AACTCCTGACCTTGAGCGATCCACCTGCCTCGGCCTCCCAGAGAGCTAGGATTACAGACGTGAGCCACCGCGCCCGGCCTTGGAGATATTCTTTACAGAAAATTTAGAAAACATGATTAAATAAGAAATAGAAAAGAATTCATTCATAATCTCATGCTCTAGAGATAACTACTGTTGACATTTTGGTAAATATATTTTAAATCTTTTTCTTGGTATTATAATCTGCTTCTTTCAAGTAATGTCATATCATGACTTTTTCTCATGTCATTAAACATTCTTCTGCATAATTTTTAATGACTTTCATTGTATTATGTATTGTAGTTTTTTAAAATTCTCAGACATTTAGGTCGTTTCCAGACTTTAGATATAATTAGCATCAAATAAGAATCCTTATGGAGAAGTCTGTGACTTTTCATGAATATTTTATTAGGACAGATTCCCAAGTGTGGAATTACTGGACTAGAAGGGATGAACATTTATTTTAAGACTTTTGATATTGTTCTTAAATACAGTGCTACCAGTAGTGAGTAAGAGTGCCCATTTTCCAAAATTCTATCAATACTGACTACCATGTATATTTTACCTTTAATATCACTGTGATAGTTAGGCTATTAATTTTTTAGGTTTAGGAAGGATTTTTAAAGTTTTTTGTTTTCATTACAAAATACTATGGAGCTGGTTAAAAGGAAAGTAATTTATTTTTGAAGTCTTTATTTTCAGAGAGGAATTTGTTAATTGTGGCAAAACCAGACACAAATTTCTGTCTTGAAAACACCATAGTCTTAAAAATAATTTTGATGGAAAATTGGCAGAATATGTGGTTTGGTATTTAACAGAGCAGATGGGATGTCAGCAGCTGTTGTTCATGTATTTAAACCTGCACTCTTTCCATTATAGAAGATTTTGAAAAATCATGTGCCCATATTTGGAATCAGAATGCAAATGTGCTGGTTGGCAGCTTTACCTTGCTGTGTTATAACCTGTTTTAGTTGCTTTTCTAGATGAACTTTAAGCTGCCAAAAAAATTACCCAGCATAAAGAGCCCTGGGGGAAAAATAGAAATGACCTTCATCCAAAAGAGGATCTTTGTTCCTTAATGTTCTGGTTATATACTCTGGTAGATGCATAATCAAAATAAGAATCCTACAGACTAAGAATACTTTTTCTTATAATGTCCTCTTTACTACTTTTTAGGATATCAGTGCAATGGAAGAAGAAAAGGATCAGCTCATTAAGAGAGTTGAACGTTTGAAGAAAAGGGTAAGGCAAGAATTAGCACTGTAAGACTTTGGCCCCATGTCCCAAGGATTTGCAAAGATTTAGGAATGCAAATAAAGATTAAGCTAGGGATGGGTGTACATCTAAGAATGGACTCAAATAACACTGACAGAAAGGGAATCTCCCTAGCGAGTAGCCCAAAACTTTTAAGGACCTGGAGTCTAGAGCTTTACTGTCATTTCTAGGAAGTACTGTTTACCAAAAGGAAATGATAAGTGGATGTCTGAGTCATGTGACATGCTAATTTTTTCCTCAAACCTGACAGTAACATGTACTACTTATTCTCTTACTGTAGGTGGAGACAGTTCAAAATCATCAACGAATGCTTAAAATAGCAAGGCAACTTCGAGTTGAAAAAGAGAGAGAAGAATTTCTTGCACAACAGAAACAGGAACAAAAGAATCAGGTATCCACATAAAAGTTTATATTCTTAGGATGAAAGAAATAATTCCTTCTGATAATTCAGATGTAAAGAAAGAAGAGTTTTAGAATTGTAGAAATTCATGTTTCCCTTTGTTGACATGATCGAATATTCTTTTAATTAAGAGAAGTATTTTGTGGCACCAGTAGCAACAATATCACCTTTCAGGTTTTATACTCTGTATCTATGCACTGTCTTTTGGCCTATGCTTAGCTCATGTTCCAACATTATAGAAGATTCATTGTCATGTTAAGCAGTAAGGTTAACTGCTAATAAAACTTCTAGAATCTCTAAAAGATGTCTGTAGATTTGGGGGCTATAAGAACATCCTTTTTATTTTACCGATTGTAGTACTCTCTACAGTTTACTCCAGTGGCAAATAAGAAAATCATGAAAAGGCTTAAAATCACCCACACTCCATGTTTTTTTGTTCGTTTGTTTGTTTTTATTTTTTTTGAGCTAGGGTCTCACTCAGTTGCCAGGGCTAGAGTGCAGTGGTGTCAGCATAGCTCACTACAACCTCAAACTCCTGAGCTCAAGAGATCCTCCTGCTGCAGCCTCCTGAGTAGCTGGGAATACAGGCACATGCTACCACATCTGGCTGATTTTTCCATTTTTTGTAGAGACAAAATCTTGCTTGCTCAGGCTGGTCTAGAACTCGTGGTCTCATGCAAATCCTCCCACCTCGGCCTCCAAAAGTGCTAGGATTACAGGGATGAGCCACTGTGCCTGGCCCACACTCCACATTTTAAAACTTTGCCTTAAAGAAAAAAATTTGGTCAGAAAGTATTACTTTTATTAAAAATCTATCATAAAATCTAGGTAGACTTATACATTAAAAATATATTTCAGGCCAGATGCAGTGGTTCATGCCTATAATCCCAGCAATTTGGGAGGCTAAGGTAGGAGGATCACTTGAGATCAGGAGTTTGAGACCAGCCTGGGCAATATAGTGAGACCCCATCTCTTAGAAAAAAATTAAAAAATTAACAGGCAAGGTGGCATGTGCCTGTAGTCCCAGCCACTAGGGAGGCTGAGGCAGGAGGATCACTTGAACCCAGAAGTTTGAGGTTGCGATGAGCTATGATTATGCCATTGTACTATAGCCTAGGCAACAGAGTGAGACCCTATCTCCAAAAAAAAAGAAAAAAAAGAATTTTTAGGCCAGGTGTGATGGCCAATGTCTGTAATCACAATGGTTTGGGAGGCCAAGGCAGGAGGATTGCTTGAGACCAGGAGTTAGAGACCAGCCTGGGCAACATAGTGAGACCCCATCTCTACAAAAATAAAAAAATTAGCCAGGCATGGTAGTATGCACCTATAGTCCTAGCTACTCAGGAGGCTGAGGCAGGAGGATCACTTGAGCCCAGGAGTTCGAGGTTATAGTGAGCTGTGATCATGCCACTGCACTCCAGCCTGGGTGACAGAGCCTTTCTCTATAAAAAAAAAATAATTATATATATATTTCAACAGCTTCATTTTCTACGAAATTGGCAGTTTAGATGTTTGCCTCTGTTGGAATTTGACTTGGTATTGTAGTAGTTTCACTGCAACAGTAAGCTGCATTGCCTATGCCCTGAATGGTTACTTAGTATCAGTTTCTGATTCTGAAACTTCACTGTGAAAATGTTAACATTCCTTAGCATTAAGAAAACCATGTTATAACAAGAAAAGTCTGGTGTGTATATTTCTTTAACAAGTACTTTTCCTTAATCACAAAATTCAATAAATAACTAAAGAAAAAATATCTGAAAGCTTTTTAAAAAAATTTACACGAAAAGATATAAGAGAGAGAGAGAGAGAGAGAGAATCAGTTACATTTTGGGTTTAATATAGTAATTTTCTTGGCTCTTATTATTTGTTCCTTTTATGTCATAAGAATTACATGGAACTCATATTTTCTGTTACTTGCCTATGTGAGAGATAACCTTCAATAGACTAAACAAGTAATGGATCTATTTGTATCTTAAAGCTATTTCATGCAGTGCAGAGATTGCAAAGAGTACAAAACCAGCTGAAAAGTATGCGCCATGCTGCAGCAGATGCAAAGCCTGAAAGTAAGTGGAAATTATTATAAGATTTGGTGATTAGAAAATATTAATTTAAATAAGAATCTTCCTAAAAGCAATCAATTAATGGGAATAAATTATCATCAAGTGATATCTCAGCATTTTGGAGCATCATTTCCTTACTGGGGAGAAGAGCCCTGATGAAGACCTCTTGGGGTTTTTAAAAATTCCTGTCCAGTTATTCAGTCAAAAGTTGAAGGTAGTGGTAACAACTGTGCAGGGAGGCACTCTGGTGTGTGTGTATAAAGTACTTAACATGGATGTGGTGAAGATGGATGGAGAAAAAGTGAATCATTGTTTTAAAGCCAGGGCTTTAAAGAAAAATAATAAAATGCTGGACCCTTAAAACTGAGTGTTTTTCATATTTTGGTTTGTAGAATAATAGTGCGAATGACGTGAGTATCCCTGGCTCTGTTCTCACATTAGCTTTACACAGAGGATAAACTGTTCTAGAAGCCCAGATTACACCACCAAACCCATCCTAGGCATTTTAAAAGTGTTTTTGCTCATCAGTAGGGAGTCCACGCAAACTGAAGGAGCAATGCAAAACTCTCATTTGTATTGGAAAAATATTCCATTATAAATATCCAGCTGATAGAGGGTTAATTCATCTTTCTGTAGTAACCTAAGAAATTCTATAAGATATAATACTTAGAATGACTATAACAAAAAAGACAGACAATTACAAGTGTTGATGGGAATGTGTGGAAATTGGAGCCCTCTTACCTTGTGGGAATGTAAAATGATGCAGCTGCTTTGGAACACAGTTTGATAATTCCTCAACATATTAAACATAGAGTAACCATATGAACCAGCATTTCCATTTCTAGGTATATAACCAAGAGTATTGAAGACATATGTCCACATAAAAACTTGAACACAAATGTTCATAGCAGCATTATTCATAATAGCCGCAAAATGGAAATAATCTATATGTCCCTGAACTGATGAATGGATTAACAAAATGTGGTCTTTCCATACTATGGAATATTATTCTGCCACAAAAAAGGAATGAAGTACTGATGCATGGTATGACATGAATGAACTTCAAAAACATGCTAAGTGAAAGAAACTACATAGTTGCAGAAGACCACATACTGTATAATACTATTTATATGAAATGTCCAGAATAAGTGAATCCACAGAGATAGAAATCAAATTAGTGGTTGCCTTGGGCTGAAGTTGTGGGAAGGGACAGTGGGGGACAGGAAGTAACTGCTAATAAGTATGGAGGTTTCTTTTGGGGCTGACAAAAATGTTCTGAAATTGAATGTGCTGATGGTGCACGGCTCTTTGAATATACTAAAAACCATTGAATTGTACACTTTAAATGGGTAAGTTTTATGGCATATAAATTATATCTCAATAAAGCTGTTAAAAGAGATAACAGGGTGCAGTGGCATGAGCCCGTAATCCCAGCTACTCAGGAGGCTAAGGTGGAAGGATTGCTTGAGTCCAGGAGTTCAAGGACAGCCTGGGCAACATAGTGACACCCCATCTCAAAAACAAAAAAGAGATACAATACAGTATTTCCTTTCCTTAATTCTAAACACGATTTTTTTCCCATTTTAATTGTTTTTGCAATTGGGATGTATCTTTCATTTAACATGGTATTTATATTAGGTCATTAAATAGGAAATGTCCGATTTCAAATCAAAAGTGTAATTTATTGCATCTCAAACAAGAAGCAGCACAATTAATCAAAGTCTTAATATATGCCTAAACTGTTGATACAGTTTTGCCATCTTAACAGTAGCTTGCTTGTACCAGCAGCGAAGAAGCCTGGAGAGTGAATGGGGATGAAATCACAAAAGACATTTTCCACAGCTTCTTGAGAATTGAATATTTTTCCTTGCAAGATGTGGTCCAAAGTGTGGAAAAAGTGGTAGTCAGATGATGCAACGTCTGGTGAATATGGTAAATGACAACAAGAGATTCCAAGTCCAGCCTCTGTAGTTAGAGCAGTGTTATTTGTGTAACTTGTGGTCGAATCTTGCAAGAGGATTGACCTCTCTCTGTTAACCAGTCTCCGCTGCTTAATTGCAAATATCCTCATTATTTCATCCAATTGGTTGCAGTAGACATCTGCTATAATCAAATGACCAGCTTTTATGAAGCTGTAGTGGATAATACCAGCGCTGGACCACCAAACAAGACACCATTAGCTTTTTTTTTTTTTTAATTTTTTTATTTCAGCATATTACAGGGGTACAAATGTTTAGGTTACGTATATTGCCTTTGCATTAGTTTTTTTCGATGAGTATTTGGTTTTGGACTGTGTTTTGGCACTTCATCTTTATCCAACCATTGTGCCGAATGCTTGTGATTGTCAAAAAGAATCCATCTTTCATCACATGTAACAATATGGTGTAGAAATGATTCGCCTTTATGTCTTTGCCTTTATGTCTTTTTTTTTTTTTATTTCAGCATATTATGGGGGTACAGATGTTTAGGCTACGCATGTTGCCCCTGCCCCCCGCTCCCCCCCAAGTCCAAGCCTCAAATATGTCCATCCCTCGGGTGGCGCACACCGCGCCTTTATGTCTTGATGTCAAAGAAAGGCAAGCTTTGAGACGATTTCTCTTCTGATGCTCATTTAATTCATGCGGAACCCATCTATCCAGCTTCTTTACCTTGCCGATTTGTTTCAAATGGTCCAGTATTGTTGGAATAGTAACGTCAAATCTTCCTAATTCACGCGTAGGTTGAAATGGATTCGCTTCCACTACAGCTTTCAGCTCATCGTTATCCACCTCGGTGTCAGGTGGCCCATGTGGCTCATTTTCAAGATAAAATCACCAGAACAGAATTTCTCAAACCATCGACATACTGTGCATTCATTAGCCACATCCTTCCCAGACACTTCATTGATATTTCAAGATGTCTGCGCAGCATTGGTTCCATGACAGAGCTCATATTCAAAAATAACACGAATTTTTGACTTATCCATGGTTTCACAAAAATTGCTCTAAAAAAAATTTTGAAAGATAATCACAAGCCAAACTGTGTGTTTGAAAGAATAAGGTTGTACCTTCACAATAAACATAAAACAAGAAGTGTCAAAGTGAAATGTCAGAGATACCAACTGTCAAATTTAGTACTTAAGGAAATCGGATACTTCATACTTAATAACCTAATAATTTAGTTGATATCTTATAATCGATGGCATCTTAAAAATCAAGGAAATATGATATATTTAATTGATATTTAAGAAACCAGTACAGTGCTTCCTACAAGATGAATGGTTAATACATGTTAACTAGTGGTTTTCC